CCTCAATTTTAAATTTTAATATAATTTATCATTATTTTATGTGTGTTTACATATGTATAAATATACTTTTCAAGTCAATTAGCATGAGAAGTATATAAATTTATATGCAGTGTTGTCAGAATCACATTTTAAATCGTAAAATTTTGTAGGTTTTATAATTTTAGATATGTATTTCAAGTAAACTCGGTGTTAAAATCAGATTTTCATAAAATCGAATGAAAAAATCGTAGAATCACGAACTTATGATAAACTCGTTTGAAATTTCGATTTTACTTTCACAAATATTAAAGAAGAGGCTTTCAGAAATTTAAATTCAAACATAAATTTGATCTCTGATCTTCTTTACTTTAGGTTTGCCGCAGGGGAGGGAGAGATTGGACTGTTGTGGTGCACTGTTGCTGCCCACTGCCACTGCTAACTGTTCAAACACTTGCTGGCGGGATATTGGTTGCTGTTGCTCACTGCTCAAGCAAAAAGGGAAAAAATCTGGTGCAAAAAGAGGAGTAGATAAGGAGAAAGGGAGCTTGAATGGAACAAAAATGGTAGAAAAGAAGGAAAATGACAGCGGAGAAACTAAGGAAGGTGAAAGGATGGAGGGGTATTCTCTTATAATGTTGGTTATGTTGACATTTCATATGGATTGGGTGTTAGTTTTATAAATATTAATTTTGGGGTAAAAAAATGAATGTATTTTAAGTTAAATAATCATTTTAAAAAATTATTTTATTTTTAATTTTTTATATTATCATACATTATGATATTAAAATTTAATTTTTATGAAAGTTATTGTAAATTTTAATTTCATATTTAATTTTTTATTATTAAATTTTAATTATATTAATATAAAATATAAATTTTTATTATTTATTTATTAAATTTAATAAACTCTTAATTTTATCAATTCGATTTTACAATTTTGATTTTAATTTTAAGTAAAATCTCAATTTTGACAACTTTGTTTCCATGAAATATTTTAATTACTTTTAGTGCCTATTTTTGTACTCTTTTTCATGCAAATTTGAAATAAAAAGTTACATCCCTATTTTTTTACACAAAAAGTTAGTTATTTAAATTCGGTTAGTATTGTTGTAATAGGTGTTTTAATAAAATTAAATTCAATCATTATTGAGAAAATATATAAATGAGAACATGAATTTTGTTATATTTTATTTAAAGATACAAAATTTTTAAGTTTTTTAAATAAAAAAAAAAATTTCCTTTTTAAAAAAAAAATAAGAATGTGAACTTTGATTTCTTTATTTAAAAATTTACTGAATAGTAATAATGACATAATAAATAACAATATAAATCAAAATAAAGTAAAATTCATGTACTTAAAAAAATGATAAAATTTATATTTTTAAATAACAAATAAATTTTATCACTTAATTTAAATTTTAAAAAAATTTATATCTTTTCGGGTGGGGTGGGATAAGGAATTAGAAATAATTGCTTTTTATTTGCAAGTAAAATAAAAAAAATTATATCTTTTAAATAAAAAAATTAGTATTCAATAAACCTTTTCTTAAGAATTATCTTCCTTAATTTCTTCTGAACAAGAAATTTTTTTTAAAAAAATATTACAACTGTCTTTATTAAGACTTGAACCTTATCATGAACTACTAGTGCTATTATCCTCTTCTTTTTCTTTTTTCTTTTTTTTGATAAAATGTGAAATTTTTATTTATCCAAACTTACTGTGCATAATATAAGCAGCAAATATGCTGCTACCAGAAAAAGTATCCAAACAGAAATACAAGTAACCAACATGCACAAACTTAATTTCACACTACTACCACTTCAAGCCCAAGTTGCATACAATAGTTGTTGGCAATAGTGGGGATTTTGGCCGAACAAATTCCAGAATTTTGTTTCTTACATCAAACTGGATATCATGAATAAATGCACCCTTTGATTTGAAAACTTAGTGGTGAAACCTTCTATTCCTCTCCATCCACACATGGTAGACAGACACATTCCATGTTAGCTTGATTAGAGTGTTATATATAAAGACTTTCTTCTAATCTTCTTACCCAGCCAATGCATTAGGCTTTGCCAGGAATGAGTAAAAAGTGTATCAGTTATAGCACAAAGTTGCTGCCATATATTCCTGGTGAAACTGCACTTAAAAAACAAGTGATCATTTGTCTCTGAACTACTATTGCACATGATGCAAGTGTCAGCAATTGTAGGCATCCATTGCTTCTGCCTAGCTCTTGTGGTTAGCTGGTTGAGAATGGCTAGCCAACTAATAAAGCTATGCTTGGGAATAGCTTGATAAAACTAGATTAGCTTGTGCCATGCTTTTCTGCCCTGCTTCCTTCTCAGCCAAATTCCAAGTTTGTCCAGTTTTATAAATTTTAGATGTAGATGGCATTCATGACACTTGATCTTTTTCACTTTGCTTTGGCCAAATACTGAATAGATGCATCTAAATTTGTACCAATTGAGCTGACCTGGTAGGGTGTCACCTCCAGAAATTTCCACTAAGGACACATATTAGCTTTGCTTGAAAAGGTATCCCTGTATCTCTTACAATAGAATCACCATAAGCCTCTAGCAACGGCCCAGAGCTAGTGCTATTATCTTGGTTAACTGTGCCTAACAAATAGCGTAGATTGATAACACTAGAGGGGTAATAAATTTGGTCAAATTTGCAAAGCTCTTTGTAGCTTGACTAGTAACACTCCTCTTGTTCCATTAGGTATCCATCAAGTTTTTTTCTCTACAATTAGTAGTAGAATTTAGCACTTTCATCTCTCAACTTTCTGAAATTTCCAAAATTGTCTTCATAGGAATACATATTCTTTATTCATCCTTTAAGTTAGAAAATTATTAATGTTAAAATTTAAGTATTCTTATCCTTTTAAAAAAGTTTTTAAATTTAACTTATTTTTATAATTTGACCAAAAAACAGTCATTACCATTAATCAAACATCACTCAAACAAAAAGTTAGGCTTCACAAAACAGATTCTCAAAGAGAGACTCTTGCCATAAAATCTGCAATAATTCTTAGAGGCTGCTGAGAAAAATTTCCTGGGGAAGTTCATTTTCAGAGTCTCTGGGCTCTCGCCTTCCAGTGGTAAATAAAGACATTCCGAAACTTCTATCAACTTTAAAAGTTCCAAGCAAAAGGGAGCAGAATACCCATGAACATGCAAGCAAGCAAGCAAGCAATTCACAAGATAGCAAATACTGTGAAATTTCATTAACCAATTGCAATGTAGTCGTCTACTCAGTTTGAAATAATCACAAGATCCTCAAAATAGATAATCCCCTCCCAACTAAATTGTTCTGATTGCCATTATCTTTGATCAGGTATGAACAAATAAGTCAGGAAACTTTGTTGGGAACCTTTAAAAATGGAAACGAAGAAACTAAAGCTCATATTCCTATCTACATACTACCTCAATCCTTATAGCAGCAGACATTAGTAGCTTTCTGAAGACAGAAAAGTGATGTGCAGTCTGCAGTCCACCCTGCATGGACGGACTGCACATCTTATAACCATTGATGAGAGACGGGCCCCTTGATGTTGAGGTGGTCCCCCCTTCATCAATGGCTATAAAATATGCAGTCCAAACAGCAATCTCTTCTGAATATTGTTAAACAGAGGATAATTAATTTGAAAACATGGCTATGAATAAGCTGACAATAGTAAAAATGATGTATAGACCAACAAGGCAGAATCCCCAAAACCTTGGCACCCGGAACCTAGACCAAGTAATAACTAATAAAGATCCCATGAGGCTCAAAAGCAAGAAAACAAATGCAATGACAATGCCGATGTGAAAATGAAGAGTATAAGCTTCTGGATAAACATTAGCTGTCTGCATTACCAAAGCTGTTCCAAGCCCAACAAGCATGTTAAACATTGGGCCAGCAAAGCACCCAGCCATGGCCATCGCTGGATGCCCTGCTTTGGCAACTGCAACGTCAGCCACAAGATCCCCCACAGAGTTTCCCCATGCAAGTACTGTCAATCCAAGCAGTGCTGGAGGCAATTCAAGAAGTGTTCCCAATGCTGCCAGGCAGCTCAGAAGCTCTCCAGCAATAGTGGATATCCAGAACACACTCATTATAAAAGCCACAACCACCACTGGCATTTGCTCACCCTTGGGAGGTTCTTTTTCAACTATAAAGTGAAGTAGTGCAAGAGAAGAGCTTGCAAAGAGTACTACGAACCAGAGAGGAAAATGGGTGTTTGGAAGGAGGAAAACTATAGGGTGATCTAATGGCATGAATGAATTGCAAGCATATAAAAGCAGCAGAGGGCAAAGAGCAATATTAGCAGACTGGTAGAACCTGTTCCATTCAGAAGGTGAAGTCTGTGGAATTGAGAGCTTTAGAGCAAATGAAACAGGAACCTCCCATACTTTTGAGATCTGAAATAAAAGACAAAATATTAGAACAGAAGAAAAAACCCTGATAAAGCCTCTACTGATCATTTTCTGATGCAACCAAAAACATGAAGCTCCTTAGTCCTTACATAAAACATGATTGACCATAAATTGGGGATAATATTTCATAGATCCCTAGTCAAACATGCAACTGGAAAGTGTGGTTGCTCAAATAGACAAACAGACAGGGGAAAGCAAAGTTCTATATCATTGTTATAGATATTCAATTTAGCAGAATGATATTGTTCACCAGCAACAAATAAAGAAGTTGCAAATAATACAACAAAAAGCCAAAGAAAAGATTTTAAG